ACCCATTAGGTCAAATCTGCAAATGCATCATGGCGGAAAGTGATTTTCATCGTGAGTTTGCGTACGATCCAACACCTTCGTCAGTGGAGGTAATATGACAATTTTGACTTCGATTGTGTTCCAACACAGACTCAAATGTTTTTAATTTCGTAAATTCTGGTGGTACGTAATTAATATTGTAATAAAATGTGTATATTTTTTGTGATCATTTCTGTTTCTTCATTGTGAAAATCAATGACGACTCAACTAATTTCATAATTTGATTTTCCCTCAAAGACGTAATCTGTCACTTGATGAATAACAATTTTCATTTGCACTCTTTTTTGAGGGGGTTGCTCGGGTAAGCGCCCACCCCTAAAAAATCATGATTTACTGAGTTGAGGCCCCTGGGCGCTAACACGGTCAAGTACGGTAATTAAGTTTAATTAAACAAGCCATGCATGGCACAGTTCCCCATTAGTTATCAAACCTAAGATATATAGTTTTGTTTATAGTAATATAGTTGGAACATAAACATGTCAGAGATATGGATCCAGAGGCTGATGATGATGATTTTTTAACATTCAGTCATCTTGTTTCTGATTATCAAATGAGTACTGGAACATCATTAATTAAAACAAAATGGCCACTGGTCTGCCACTTTGAATACATATGTACAAGTATACCTATAACACGATGTATAGTGAATATAAAAATTTGAACTTAATCAGTCAAATCATGTCAAAAATACGGCTCTAGAACTGCATTCAGTATATAAAATGGCCGCCAGTCACTTATTTTTAATTTGATTTGAAAAATAATGACATGCATCAAGGTTCCATAATGTCCAATGTATGTACCAAAAATCCTTCCCTAAATTCTTGATTTTGTTGATTTTTCAGCACAAAAAAGCTTGCCATTCGGCCATCTTGAATCAGATCGTAAAACAAATTGATGTGCATATGTATGATGTATGTGTGAAGTTTGATTGCAATTGGTCCACGCATGTCTAAGATACAGGTTTGGATGCACCCACACATGAATGCACAGAAGTCAAACTATAAGTCCCCGTTTTTGGGATTAATAAAAGTTGAATATACTGAGAATGAACATAATAGTGAGGGTCGTCAGATTGAAGTCAGTGTAAAGTTAAATTGAAGTCGTCACAACGTTGGTACCACACACAGACACCATCCATTCCAATAATTCCAATATTGGGCTGCTTAATTTATGAGTTATTGATAACATTATGACATTCACCTTCTACACAGTCCAGCAATTCATCTTTAGTCCAGGCATGTTCAGCCATTAACACAGAGGTATAGTATAAAGCATGTTGGTGAGGTTGTTCTGCCCGAAAATTATTGAGTGATCTTATATGCTGAAATGGAAAGAACATTATTTGATACAATATGGTGTAAGTGAAAAAACTGTGGTACATGTTATTTACATTGATTTCTCACTTCTATTCAAAACCAATTTTCATAGATATGTGACATTACCCCACCCCCTCCTCCAGGACACTTTGGATCTCTTTTCCTGTCTTACTTTCAGAGTTACTGGCACTCTAATTGTTTTCATAAATTCACAAATAGGTGTATTTGTAAATTAACCTGATTGCTGTTGCTATGAAAACAATTTACAAAGAAAATAGAGACAAAGATTGTGAATATCAAAGCAATGCAACATGTGATTTAAGGGCAGAGTATGATGAAGACAGAGTACATTTAGAGACAAGTACTAGGAGACAGCGTACAAAGGGAGGGAGGCAGAGTACAATAGGAGGCAGAGTACAATAGGAGGCAGAGTACAGACGGAAGTAGAGTACTGAGAGAAGCAGAGCATAGTTGGAGTTGGTGTATAGTGGGGGGCAGAGTATGGTGGGTAGCAGAATGAGAAAGGATTGAAATTATAACTACATCAACAATACTTACCGACTCTTTAAAAATATCAAATCTCTTCTCATCAATATGAAATGATGTCATTTTCTCTAATAGTTTCATGAGAAGTATGGCTTGTTTATCACTATATCCTTTCACACTAAGCTGTGAAAGATAATTAGAAAGGTTGTCAAATCATAAACTTTTACATGTTTTACTAGTTATTTTCACACAATACACATTTTTGGAATGTTGATATTTTCCAAGTGTTTAAATAGGCACACAAGCATGTGTACTTGATGCAGGAAATCATATAATTGTATTACTCTTTAAAACATGTATATTGGGATAGTGTCATCTATCCTTTCTTTTCAAATATTACAATTCTCTTATCGATGATGAAATCGATAGTGAATATATTTAACATAATACATGAATACAGAATTAAATTCAAATAATAGGCATCCTGCAGATTTTCAGACCAACATAGGTGATTATGATGAAACCAGTAGACATTTGAGACATTAATTGGAAGGAATCCAATCTAAGGTTACATGCCTCTTGAATCAGCAGTTGATGTTCTGATGCAATCATGCAGCTGTGTTGATCAGTAAACTTGCAGGACAATTATCATGCTTATCTTTTTAAGAAAAAATCAAGTATAAATGTAGATGAACAGTCAATGTGTGACAGAAAATCACCTTTCCTGCAAGGTCAACAATGCTACTAACCAATCATTATTTTGTGTGATACATTTCCAAGTCAATGTTATAATATGATATAGAATAGTACCTACATGGAGTCCATAAATAGTGTTTTCTAGTGAGTATCCTAATCCTGCTATTTCAGCAGCATATGCATATTCCACCAACGAATCTTTAAATAACTGCATAAACATGAAAGCTAAATTGCAATGCA